ACATGGTTGTTCCTTATGTCACATCAATGTAGCTAGTGGCAGTGGTTTATCTTTCAAATAACTTTGTCTGTTGGCTTCAAGCAGACATAATTGCTGGAGTCAGATTATCTCTGTGCTATCAAGTATCAGTTTTCCCCACAACCACCTTTGGATATGGGTCTAGCATGGTGTTTAGAAACCATGGGGGATCTGCTGCAATGGAAAACATCTGTCCTGGAGGAGCAGTATTTCTTTACAAAGTGTTTATCACATCCTTTTGAAAGATATTGCTGGTAGAAGAAATATTTTTTGCGGGGGGGATGAGGAAACTGATGGCTTTTAGATAAAAGAAGAAAAACATATTTTCAAAGTCATGCTCTTTTAATAGATATTTTTTTAGAAAACAGTAATTAATTCCAGATTACAGCAACAGAGATAAAATAACAGCAACAAACAATACACAGACAGCTCATATAAAAAAACGAACAGATGAGAAATGAGTCACATATTTGCAAGGGGATATATAGGGATGATAAAGTCAAGATATAGGGGGTGATGTGATATCACTCCATAGTGGTATCTATTTGGAGACATAAAATGGGGTGGGAATCATGCACCCTCCAGATGTTGTGAGACTACAATTGCTAGGAACTGCAGTTCAGTGACATCTGGAGGGCTCTATGGCCAGAGTCCTATTGGTGACATATGCTGGCATAACTTCCACTACAGATACAGGTTGGCTTTTTTGGACAATGCAAAATGGATATATCCAGCTCGTGGTGGTAGGATCAGGGTTCTGCATGTGGAATCATTGCAGATGTGCAATAATGTACCCAGAGAAGTGTGTTAATGTTTACACTGCACATTGAGTATTGTGTCCTGTCTCAGTGCATCACACATTGTGCAATGAAGTGACAGCAAAGTACATTCACCATTCCTCATACATTGTGCCACAGTAGTGTTCAATATAGGGACTGTGTATTACTAACACAGCATAACTCTTGACAGTGGGTATGTTACAGTATGGTAGGACAATGAAGTATCTCAGACCATAGAAAATGAGTTCCCAGGACTATTTCTTTAAGCAAGCTGATGAGCAATCCCATGAGATCCGTCTGCTTACATCTTTAGACAGCTTTAAAGCAAAGCAAAGCAGCTTCATTTATATACCGCTTCATATCGCGCTATGGGATGTCTAAGCGGTTTACAACTGTAAGCTCATTGCCCCCCAACAGTTGGATATTCATTTTAGCGACCTCGGAAGGATGCAGGCCTGAGTCTAGCCTGAGCCCTGGCTAGTATTGAACTCGCAACCTTGTGGTCTATGAGTGAGAGGCTGCAGTACAGGCATTTAACCACTGCGCCACCAGGACTCATTAAAATGGCTGTTAAGACAGATCTTTTCTGGCAGGCCTTTCCAGGATAGATTCCCGGCCTCAGAAATCCCTCTTAGGGGAGCCTTCCAAGAACTTTCCATTTAGCCCGCCTCCTAGTCAATTTGTCACCGCCATCTCTCCTTATTGATTTATTGTTATTGTTATTAATGCCTGTTTTAAATCTGTATGGTTTTAAATTTTAGTTGGTTTAATACTTTTTTAAGGGGGGAGGGTATAGGGGTTTGAATGCATTTGTACTTTTATTACTTGTGAGCCACCCTGATTGAGCTCAGAGGGGTGGAGTATAAATATTTATTATTATTATTATTACATACTTACAGAGTTTGGAAGACCTGCTTTTTGGGAACTAGAGTCATGGGTCATGCTGGCTGGATTCTGAGCATTGTACAACAAAAACCTTTTACAACTAAACTCTGTGATGGCC